CTGCCTGGCCCAGTCTCAGTTGCAGGACATCTGCCTTTGAGATCTCTGAGGGAAAATGTGTTACAGTGTAGGTCAGGCTGGTCTCTTGGCATTCCAAGCCTTAGCCTTACTTTCAGACGATCCCTTTCTATGTAGGATGCTCCATTTTCTGGTTATGCAAGGAATGCCACCATTGAACTTTGTACTGGTTTTTGGCAGAAGACCAAAGTAAGGTCTCCTCTCGTGCCTGTCAGCTAAGACACCATCATACTTTTCTGATGGTTTTTGCCTGTAAGAAGCCCCTCAACCAAACTGATAGTAATTCTCATCATGAAAAATGACTTGAGGGAGCACACTCATGTTTGCACATTGACATCTCTGTCATCTGAAGGTCACATCCCAATAGTGCAGCACAGATAAAGGAGGAGAAGGCGGCAATTTGCATCATAGCGAATGTACCAGGGGTGGCCTGTATTTTCCCACTGCATAGTTGTGAGGTTAAAAAAAAAAAAAAGTTGTCCCTGATGAGAGGTCTGGCCATTTCTGGGTCATAAATCTAGTTCCAGCAAGTTTGCTTGGGCATTCTTCTGAGTCATAACAAGATTCTGCCCCAAACACCTCACTTTTAAATATACCTTTCTGGCGTCATAACCTTTCCTAGGAGATTAGAGGCAAAGAAGTCCCATACAGCAGCACACAAAGACGAAATGATCCCCATATGCCTGCTGACCATGGTATCTACTAATCTCTGGAAATCATCAGTGTTTGAAAAGTGATACCTTGGCTAGAATTATGTGCCTCCCAGTGCTCTCACTGTTTACATTTGTAATCACTGCCTGTGTTTTTGCCTGAATTCCTTTCTCAGAGAGTACCCCTATGAAGAGCCTGAGCTGCCACAATGACTACAACTCACAGGTGACCTGCACATGGATGGAGCATTCAGAAGCTCATGCCCTCGTTGGTATGAGTCTTTACCAAAGGGATAATGTTATAATGTAAGTACCTGAAATGTGCAGTGGTGGATAAAAGTCCAAAGGGAACTTGTCCACAACTTGGAGTCCTGACCACCAGTCAGGTTTTCAGAAAGCATGGCCACCTCTTTCTGGGTTATAGCAACTTTTGTGCCTGCTTCTGAGGTCTCTTCTAGGAAAGGAGGAATGAATAGGGTGTGCTAGTGGAGTTATTTTTATCACCTTTACAATTATTTTCCCATCATTTTGTTGTGGGATCATAGATATGAAATAAGATGGGACATATAAGTTGCTGTTAATTGGGTGAAGATGGTGTCAGAACAAGTATGAGTCTGAGTGTTTTTTATAAACCTTAAAGGAAGGAGATGTTCCCCTTGTTATTTTGCCCCTTCGGGAACATCACTGAGAGTATGGGTTTGATAATTTCTGAGAAACATGTATAGATTGTGTGCTTGTGAGATAGAAAAGACTGGTAAGTTCATCTGTGCTATCGCTATTCCTCCCAGAGATACTAGTCTGTTTATGACAGTATCTCTCTGATACATCTGTTTCCTTATGAAAAGGGAACTGAATCACCAGACTCGATCAACTGTGAGCATAAGAAAGGACAGAGAAGGAGGAATAGTCAAGGGAGAGAGGAAGACAAACATGGAAAGCTGAGAAGAAAATGAATTAGAGTCTCGGGATACAGGAATGAAATTAAAGAGAAAGAACTCTTGATTTTGTTGTAAAGTAAGAGAGAATTAATAGACCTAAAAGCAGCTGAAATCAGTGGAAGGTCTTTGGAACAGGACCTTAAAGCTAATGCTCCTAGAAAAAGATGATATCAAATTACTTGGTCCTTTTGAGGATTCTCTGGAGCAATGTTACATGATGGAGCGCGTGGATCACACAGGAAACATGCTTGAAGTGAACTAATGAGACAAGTGAGTATAAAGTGTGGACAGTAACAGCTGAAATCAAAATGGCTAATGATGAAACAAGGTCAGATCACAGATGAAGAATAGTTGCCTAAATCCCAAATTGTAAGGTAATGCTGGTGAGTAGATAGAAATACCTCCAGGACTTCACAAGCCTTGGGCTGACTCTTTTGTTTATGGGTACGTACGCACAGGTGTGGTCAGTCCCACCCATACTTCAGGCACATCCCCGGTTTCCTTGCTAATACCCAACTTTTAAAAACAGCAATCGTGCTGAATAATGCTTGCTGACATACAGTTGGCTAGGAGACTCCATCCTATCCTGGAAGACAGTATTTGGCCTTAGATATTCACAACTTAATATTTCTCAACTGAACTGGAACAATGTAATATACTGGGCATGAAGCCATAAGCACAAACAAAATTCCAGAGAGTACAAAAAGAAGCAACGCATCTCTCCAGCAGCTCAGGCTACTGCAAGCACACAAAGCTTGTCCCTCTCCTGACTAGTTTAAAATATTGTTTCTAATTTTCATGATGCTCCTTGGCCTGGAGAAAGGCTATCTAAAAGGATGATTAACATTCTGGATGAAGTCTTTAATGAATACATCAGGTCCCTTGACAGAACAGAACTACTAAGGCTACAGAAGTACATTTGGGTTGGAGAGTGTTTTTTCAAAGTGTCTGTCTGGGACTGCAACATGAATGTCTTCAAGAAGCTAGGGATCATCAGAAACTTTACTGCCTTCCACTCCGAGTAAAAGGCGCATTTGCATTACATTATTTTTCATCATATGGTTTCTCACATAAAAAAGATGAGATTACATAGAATGAGGCTAAAAAAGAACAAAAATAGGCTGGTACCAAACTGTAACATTCTGCTGCACAACTTGGAAATGGGAAGGCATTTGAGAAAAATCCTAGTGTTAAAAATGTTTGTCCTATTAACTGATGCATAACAGGACTAATAGGTACAGTGAGAAGAGGATATCAGTGCCTGAGTAAATTATAACAAAAGAATGAGAGGGAATTGGCTTCAGACATTTAATTGTGCATTGACTGTAGATCTCCAAATCAGATCTTCATGGATCACTTTCTCTGTACACAGGGAGAACAAGAAGATGCTTTGCAAACGCCGGACAGAAAATGACTTGCATGGGGCTCCAGACTCCTACGTGCACTGGCTTTGTCACACCACTACAGACTATTTTGGAATAGGGGTAGATGATACTTACAGCTTCAAACCTAACAAGATGCTTCAAGCAGAATTAAATGTTGATCTTTTTCAAAATGGTAAGGATTAGATACCAAATTCTCATTGTCCAATGAATATCAGGGAGCTTTGAGAATGTATTTGCCGTTCAGTCACAAAGTGAATTCCACTTCCATTGTTAGAAGTACCGAAGACCTCCACATCAAGAGGATGGGGCAGGGAGGGGAAAGGGCAAGTCTCTGGGAACAGCTGGACCTGGAAGGGGGTCTCAAGCAGGAGCTGCTTGATGGGGCAGGGATAAGATACTCTGGAAATGGGGAAGCTTGCCTAGGTATTTTCTTGCCCTGTTCATGTCCCTGTCCTCACTGTCTCCTCTCATGGGTTGTACCTTCACATTCCAGTTCAGACCCTCCCACCTAAAAATCTCTCAGTCAGCATGATGAGATCAGGAGATTTCTTGCTGACCTGGAAAGCAGCTGATGGAAGCCAAGGGCTGGGCAATGCACTGGACTATGAAGTGACATACAAGCGGGAGTGGGAGTCCTGGGAGGTAAGAGCGGAGGAGTCGGGCTCTCCTGGTTTGGGCTACACCCGTTGGGGCGGTTGAGAGCCTGCAGTAAATGTTGAGGAAGTTAATGGGAATGGACTTCCTGTCCTCGGGCACTGTGAGGGGATGCAACAAAAGTTGTTTCAGGTTGGGCGGAAGGGGCTCTCTTTCTGTTTGCAGGTGACTTGCCCAATGAAATACCATTTCTTCTGAGTTGAATGCAAAGATGCTTTCTTCACTGAAAAGAAAGCCACGGTGCTTGGGTTTTGAGTTGGAATTGATTTTGCCCTAAATCCCTCCCAAATGGAATTCAAGCACTTTCCAGGAGCATTGGTTCATGTGGGAAAATGGCAAAATCATTTGAAGCTGCTTCCCCTTCCAGAAAGATACGGTTTTTTGGTTTTTTGGGGTTTTTCTAGTTTTTAAGAGTCCATATCCATTGCCCTATTGTTTCCCTAGAAATACATATGTTTCTGTTCTGTACCTGTCAGCCTGATAATTTAGTTTCTAAGAGAAGTGTCTTGGACAGATTCTCACAAAATTCTGCAATGAGCAGCGTTGTGGACTTGTGTAGCTGGTGCTGAAGACAGCTGGGGCTCTGCTAGCTGCAGGAGCTGGGCCACTTGCTGGGGTAGATTGTGCCTGCCAGTGCGTGTGCCTCACCTTTCCTGCGCCATGCTGGTAGCATGCACGCTGAAGCCCCTCTAGTGTGGGAGCAAGGAGCACCAAATGGTAGCATGTTCATGACCATCACATGTGTTTGACTGCTGGGAGAAGCAGTGAAGCTGCTTCCCCTTCTAGGAAATTTTTTTTATTTTTAAGCATGCCTATCTTCAACTTCCCAATTTGCCCCCTCCTCTCTCTCCCTCCTTTCCCCAATAACAGAACGCCACTTCACTCTTGCTCTCCAACACCACACGTTGCCATCTCAGCCACAAGGACCTTGTCCTGGGGAGCAGCTACGTTGCCCGTGTGCGAGCCAGACCAGGGTGGGCCAGTGGCTTCTCTGGGCAGTACAGCGAGTGGAGCACGGAGGTGTCGTGGGAGACCCCTGAAGGTAGCGTGGGAAGGAGCGGGGCCGTGCAGGCGTGGAAGTGCTGGCTGGGAAGCCAGACCGTTCCTGTCTCTTAGCTTGCTCTCATCTTTTCTGAAGGTGGCCTTGAGCCCAGGAATCTTCGCTGCCTCTTCAATGGTGCGGGGCCCCTCCAGGATCACCGTACGTGCTCTGCCCATGGCAGCATGCCTGCACCTCTCCCATGGAGTTTCTGCTCTGTCCCATTCCCCCTGATCTCAGCTCAAGTCCTTTTTCTCCCCTCAGAGAAGAGGAGTGCTCTCCTGTGCACGAGAAGGCATTGCCTCATGTCCCGTACGTGGTCCAGAGCTGTGAGATCCCTGTTAGCAACGCCAGCCACCAGAGTCAGTACAATGTGTCCGTCCGGGCCAAGATGGAGGAGAAGATGATTAACGCCTACAAGAACAGTGAGTTGCTGTGTTGTTTCCTGCTCCTCCTGGTTGTTTCTTTTAACGCCTACAAGAACAGTAAGTTGCTGTGTTGTTTCCTGCTCCTCCTGGTTGTTTCTTGGAGAGATGCTTGTCTGGGCAAGTGGGGCTGAGGACAGAGATGGTGAGGAAAAGTGTGTGGGCAAAGGAAGGACGAGGGCTGGTGAAGAAAGGAACTAGATGCTGTGTCAGGTCAGAGGTCTTAGAGAGGTGGCTTGTAGGTGTGGCGTTCCTCAGTGGCACTTGTTACTCCGTGGAAGGTGGCAGTGGTGGAAACTGCTGTGCAGACATTTGGGTTGTGACCCAGAGCTCCTCAGGGAGCGGCTGTCACCCTGCTGACTCCTCTGTTCTTGACCTTCCTGAGTGTCCCCCATTGACAGGGAGTTGTGGTGAGAGGTGTTTGTGGGGAGCGTGTCACTCTGTGGTTTCTCAAGAAGGCAGTGGAGCTCTTGCGGGTTTGTGCAGCGGCCCCTGGAGCACTGGAAGAGGTAGGACTGCTCTGCTAAGGAGGTGGGCCAGGTGGATCATCTCTGCCTGCGTGTATCTGGAGGTAGTGGTGCTGCTTTTGACAGACTAAAGCTGGGAGAGCTCCTGCAGTGGGTGAAACCATCCAGAGAGCTGAAAATCTCTGGAAATGTGAGGGACCAGTACAGAGGTTTCAAATATTGCTTTCCTGCTTTTCTGTACACAGGGAGTGCTGTCAATATTAATGGGTATGGATTTTCGGGTGTCTCATGTGTCTACTAGTTTATTGGAGTTTGTTGTTGTATGATTGTTGATAAGTACTCTGAGACATTCTGTGTGTTCCAGTTAAGGTGCTGCCGCCCACAAATGTGTCAGTAACAGCGACAGAGAACCAAGAGTATGAACTGAGCTGGAAAAAACACACTTTTAAATATGACTTCATAAAACAGAGATACGAAGTCGAGTACTGGAAAAGCGACGAAGACACACAGGTGAGTCTTAGAATGCGCGGGAGTCCTGGCTTTCTCTTTGCTGGGCAAATGGGAAAGACAGTTCCTCTCACCCGTGTCATTTGTGCTTCTTTCTTCTCCCTAGCGTCCCCACAAGTTAAATATCAGCAATGATGAACCTCCCTTCACCCTGCAGATGCTGGCAGCATCTACAGAATATAGGGGGAAAATGCGTGCAAGGGTCAATTCACCCCCAGGTTACGAGGGGCCATGGAGTGAATGGAGTGAGGAGTTCACCTGGAAGACCGAGAATGGTACTTTTCACGCAGGCTACTCCTGTACGGTTTTGTGGATTGTTAATGGCTGAAACGCCTCTATAGAAAAAGACATTCTCTCAGCTGGAGCTGAAGTTTGGTCCAGCCTTGAGCTAGCTGGGGTTGCTTAACAAGGTAGCTGTCCTGTCTGCATCCTTGCAGTACAGCAGCAATGCAAGTGAGGGAGGCGAGCCGGAATGCCCTTTAAGCTTCTTTCCTGCTTCACCCTTCACAAGGTGAGTACGCCCAACCATAAAGGTTTCCACATGGAGAATCAAGCAAGCACCCTGCCCAGAAGATCATCCTTGTTTCCTGAATCCAGTAGTCCATTCTGCTCTCAGTGGCTGAAGAGCCTGAGACTGCAAGACAACAGACTATCAGCCATCAGTCTTTTTTACTTGCCATGTGACGCTAGGGTTGCAGAAAATGCACAGTGGAGTCTCCTGGAGATAGGAACCTTCACATGTTTCTGCTGTTTGTGGACTTAGAGGCAGAATGCCTGCTATCGGTATGGTCTTGTGCCCAAAGTAATATGATCTTCTATGATTCGTCCTGAGGATGCTTGTAGTGGTGAGACACTTGGCGAGTTTTGATGAGTGCACTCAGGGAGAAGTTGGTATGTTGTTGGCGATAGTTGTGGGCATTAGCAGAGGAAGCTCTTTCTTAGAAAATCTCTGAGACCGCATCTCTTCAGGACTGTACAGGGTAAGGCAGACCTAAGGCGCCTGAAGAGATGCCTGTTGTTCACAGTGGAGCAAGGTACCTAACTATCTTTGTATTAGCACCAATTGTTTACCCTGAGGTCAGTAAAAAATAAAAAAGAATCGGTAGAGGAAATGCTGAACTCCTTTGGTCAGTAAGCTGACCAGAGTGAAAAAGCTGTTAGGGGAAGCAGCCGCGCTGCAGGTGGATGCCTATTTCTCTTTTCTCTCTTTCAGTTCTGCCACCAGTGGTTCTCCCGGCAATGTTCCCAGCTCTCATCATCACTTTCCTAATAGTTGCTTATTGCAGCTACAAGTATTTCCTCAGGTAGGCTTGTGTTGTGACTCGGAGATTTAGCAGCGTGTTGGCCATGTGGGCGGCATAAAGGCTGAGGCACTGCTCGTCCCCCACGAGAGATGAGCCTTGGTGTGCAATGGGCAGCCTTGTGCATGTGTGTGCAAGGGTGAGAGTTGGGTGGTGGCGTGCCAGGGCCTTGGTGGTGCCTTGCTGTGCAAAGCAGCATGGTGTACGGGGTGCAGTCTTTCCTGGTTGCAGCCATGTTGAGAAGCAAATCTGGAAAACTCTGTGTTGTTGTTGTTACAGGAAGAAGCAAATGTGGGAGGAAAAGATTCCAAACCCCAGCAAGAGTCTTCTGATCCAGAGCTACCTGGGGGTAAGAGGGAATGTTGCTTGAAGGCTTCATTATTTCTCTCTTTTTCAGGGCTTCCAATAATGTTAAGAGCTCTTCTTGTCTCCTAGCCCAGAACAAACAGATATCTTCATTAGATATTAATTTTAATTGACTTAAATAATCTAATGTCATTAGCAAACTTCATCAGCTGGTGCTTCATCTCCAAATAGTAATCAGCACTAACTCAGAGCTTTTTAGAGAGGCGTGGTAGCCCTCTTAAAGGAACTTTTATTTTAAGGAGCTGGATTTTCTGGAATAATGTTATCACATGCCTGTCTATTACCAGAACAAGCATTCTTTATTGGAAATTTAGGTATACACTTAGGCAGCCTTTGGTCAAATCTGTGTCAGTAGAACCTCCCTTCCTTCTACTTCCTTTCCAAAAAAACCCCAACATCTGGAAAGCATGGTACACGCATTTTGGTGGTAGAAGTCTTCCAGTGTTGCAAGAATAGTGAATCCATTAGTGTGCCCACCCCAACACTCACACACACACAGACACATGCAGACACAGACCTTTTTCTCTAACGGTTGGTTCTGTTCTATGTTCATAAGGGATGGGTTACAGTAAGTATAGATCTATGGCAATCCAATGAGTATAATTTACAACATGGCCTTTGTGTGAGGCAAATGAGTACTTACAGTCTCTACATTTGTGTGTGAGTGAAGGAGTTAACATGTTTGTTAATCATTGCACATTTGCTATGCTGCTGTAAAATGGACTTCCATTGTAATGACCTGGTTTAATACATCATTTTCAAACAGATGTCAAAGGCTAGGCATGGATTCTCTTGTACCAGAAGACAAACTGGTTATGCTTATGCCAAAATCTCAAGTTAGTTTCTTTTGCCTGGTCTCTACAGGAAAAACTGGAAACTTTTTCCCTCTGTAAGCAGCACCTTAATAGCTTTGTTTTCTATCCTCTACCTGTTTCTCCATCCACAAGCATTCACTGCCTTAGTTTAATGGTTTTGAAAGATTCCATCCCTGCACTGAATTACCTTATCCTAAGTTTTGTAAACATCCTAGTAATTCTGTTTCTCTGGTCAGCTGGTACAGAAGGAGAGTCATTATACCCCTGTCAGTGAAATATTGCACAGTGTCCCCATATGGTGCTGGAAAAGAGTAGACACTGCACAAAGCGGTATCTTTGATGTTTATTGTGGTAGGAACCTGCAGCATCTCTATGAGGTCTTAAAAGGGAGCAGCTCCTGTCCCCTATGCTATGTAAAGTTAGAATAGAACAGAACAGAATAGAGTTCAGTTGGAAGGGACCTACAATGATCATCTAGTCCAACTGCCTGACCAATTCCGGGCTGACCAAAAGTTAAAGCATGTTATTAAGGGTGTTGTCCAAATGCCTCTGAAACACTGGCAGGGGTGAGGCATCGACCATCTCTCTAGGAAGCTTGTTCCAGTGTTTGACCACCCTCTTGGTAAAGAAATGCTTCCAAATGTCCAGTCTACACCTCCCCAGGGCAGCTTTGAACCATTCCCATGTATCCCATCACTGGATACCCAGGAGAAGAGATCAGCACCTCCCTCTCCACTTCCCCTCCTCAGGAAGCTGTAGAGAGCAATAAGGTTGCCCCTCAGCCTCTTTTTCTCCACACTAGATAAACCCAAAGTCCTTAGCTGTTCCTTATAGGACATTCCGTCCAGCCCTTTTATGGGCTTTGTTGCCCTCCTCTGGATGCATTCAAGTACCTTAAAATCCTTCTTAAATTGTGAGGCTCAGAACTGCACCCGGTACTCAAGGTGAGGCCACACTATTGGTAACTATAGCGAGATAATCACTTCCTTTGACCAGCTGGTTATGCTGTATTTCATGCACTCCAGGATGCAGTTTGTCCTCTTGGCTGCCAGTTTGCCCTCTTGGCTGTTATTCACAAATAAGTCTAGGAGGGCATCTTTCCTTGTTGGCTCACTGAGTAATTGTAGTTAGATTGGTGGCAAGGCAATATGGGTTTGAAGTAACTGTCTTCTGGAGAACAGAACACACCTTCTAGTCACGTTAGTGAAGTTGTATCCCTATTGCCAGATGCTGTAGGCTCTCCTATTTGTTTTCTTTGTCTGTGAGGAGTGTATGGTCCTTGGTTCTACTGCCAGTGGGATGCCACTCTTTTGTCACGTCTGCTTTTTCTTTTTCAGAAAGTACATTTAGGAAACTGGTCAGCAAGCAGCCAGCTGGACTTCAACAAATACAACCTTTCAGAGAAGATGGAGCAGGCTAGCTTCCTTCAAGTTGTGGACAGGTGAGTGAACGGCACATTATAGTGACACCATGGATGACAGTCTCAAAGAGCTCCCTAAGTCATGGCAGAATATAATCAAATGTTCTGTCACTAAAAAGCCTATATGAGTTGCTTTTGAGGAAGCAATACAATTTTTTGCTTCCTGGGTTAGCCTGCTTCTCCAAGAAGGATTTTTTCTTACCATGTGTGTAGTTATGTGTGTTTTCAACAAAGCTTGTTGTATATTTAATGTTTACCACAATAATCTCTCTCATGAGCAACTTTTAACTTTCCCACATTCAGGCAGATGAAGACTTTGGCAGAGTACCCTGAAGGGCAGGCTAAAAAGACAAACATTTCCCATGTTGCACTGGACCTACAGAACTCATACCATGCTTTAAATGAGCCAGAGCTTGTCCCAGTTGCCTGCACAAGTCAGATTTCTGGTCATTCCTTTCCTGTTTCAAGGAGAAACAGTGCTGATGCAAGTAATGCTTCCCAGAGAGCAATCCCTTGCTTTGCTTTCAACGGTCCTTACTTGTACAGCCCAGTGATGTCATCCCAGCCTGATATGCATCAGACCCTGGAAGCGGACCCAGTGGGAGTCCGTGAGAAATCAGTTTCCCTTCAGTATGTGACCCTCCCAAAGGAAGACTGTCCCCTGGCTCCACAGAGGCAAGAACAGCCAGGAGCAGGTCCTCCACAGCCCTTCCTGCTCCCAGAGCAGAAGGAAATGATGCAGCACCTCAACAATGAGCAAGAAGTCTCACCAGCCCCACCAGCCTGTGGGAAAGGCACAAGCGTGAGACCAGAAGGGCAGAAATCTCCCAAGGCCCTTAGCCATATGGTGTCTCCTCAGAACTGCCCCTTGGAGTACATCACCACAGAGAGCCCATTGCTGCCATCAGCCAGTGACTCCACCCACCCGCCACTTGTCACTGCTGGGGATGTACCTTGTGACTCACAGGAGCCCCAGCCCCCCAGTGACCACCCTTGCCATGAGTTTTGTCCTGGGAAAACCGCTGTCATGGTCCCAGTTGCAGATCAAGCACCAACCTCTCCTCCTGAATTGCACCTGGATACATTTGGAGACTATCTTACTGTCCCTTTAGGTCTCCATGGACATTCAGAACCCACAAAGCTTTCTTTGCCCATCTTACAGAAGGGAAACGATCTTCCTAGGAAGCAGCCTTTGTCAGAAGGTAACTTGGTGGTGTTAAACCCTGACAGCACTGAGCCAGTTTTCCTTTGCCAGGTTGGTGACTATTGCTTCCACAGCCTAAAGTCCAGCATGAAGACGGATATTAGTCAGGAAGACCACCAAGTCAAGAAACCTTCTGAAGGCAAGACAACACCTGGGAAGCCTGTATCTGATGACAAATCCATCACTGGCAATGAGAAGGATGTCTCAAAAATGCAGGCTATTCAGCTTTTCAAAAACCTGAAATCAGATGATTACTTTTCCTGGCAGCAATCTTTGAGGATCACAGAAATCTGTTAAATGGGCAAATATTAATGAATACCAAAACTAGAGGTAACTGAAAGAGCTCGCAACTATCTGATGAAAATGAACCCTCAAGCCTAGGAACAAAGAAACGGCAGTTCCCTTTTCCAGCTTCCAGTCCAACATGTTGAGAGACTTGAAGTAGCTCAGTATCCTTCTCAATGGCCTTCACAGGTTTGGCATGAAAGACAATCCAAATATTGCCCTTTGGTGTTTTTCAACATTTTTGGCACATCCACAATGAACAGAGTTCAGCCTCCTCATGATCCTGTGACAGATCACAGTTATCTTGCAACAATACCAGATTGCCTGAGGCAAAACTTGTGGCTGGAAATGCAGGCTTAACAGCATGAACCGCTGTCAGAAGATGACAGGCCTGGAAACCTTGGAAAGAAAACTTAATATGCTTAAGAGCAATTCTGTTGAACTTTTGTGTGTGTGTAAAATAGATCCAAGAGTCACAAAGGAGCTTTCATGTTTTTATCTTTCCACTGCTGCCATGAAGTAGGTGTTGTCTAAAATGAGAAAACCCCAGACAGTAATAGAAGAGTAAATAAAATTGAGAAAAATTTGTTGAAGTCCAGGAAACAGGTACAGTCTATCACTGCCTATTCTAAGGGTAAGAAGGAAACATTACTGGGGTGCATAAAGTAGGCTGTAGAGAACCATGGGGAAGAAGATACATTGCTGAAAGAAAACCGAATGACTTGTAAGGTGCAGTGAGAGGAAGGGAGTGGGGGCAGGTAACAGAAAATGACAGGCAAGAAATGTTGTGAAGGTGCACAACCTGCTGGGGTTTTTCTATTTCTAAGTGTTAAAGTACTATATGATTTTCTTTTAAGTTCATTGGCTGTCTGTGCATGATGTAATTCATCTTAACTACATAATTTATTCTAAGGCTTTTTTTTCTGAGTAGTAAGATGTGTTGAGAAAGAGGAAGAATTTTTTTCCCAGTTCTGCTCTGAAGAAAGTGGTGCAAAGAAAGAGCGTTTTTTCAGAGTTGCCACACCATGTTCAGTAAAAGGCTTTGGTTTTGGACCTGAAGGTGGGCTTGCATTTGAAAAAAAACATGTTTCTCTTTTCAAATATAAACCATGTACTAATAAAAATACTCTTTCTTCCTATAAATCTTTCCTTTTGTATGTTAAGAGCACTGTGGTTACAATAACATTACTATTAGCTCATCTGATCAGACCTCTGTAGGTTCTGTAGGTTCAGCTATGTCACCTGTGAGGTAGACTGTTTTCTCCTGACTTTGCTGTATTGAGAGAGATAATGAGAAGGAGTTTTGTCTTTATGCCAGCTGATTCCTCCTGCTGGGTTAATGGGACAGTGCTGATTCAGAAATTGCAGTGAATTGTGTTGTTTTTTTCAGAATTTAAATCCTTGTAAATACCACTTTAAATCTCAAAGGTGTGCAAATTCAGTTTGGTGTTCTTGACAGCAAAAGGCAGGCAGTTGCAGCCTCTGATAGAGAATATTGATGGTCACTTTAAGGGATTTTCAAGGTAGTCCTTTCCTTATTAATGGATATTTTGTTAGTCTCTTCTTTGGCCTTTTATGAGTAGAACAAACAATTTCTTCCAGGCTGTATGATTGTGCTGTATCTAGGCATGTACTAAATGGAGATGTTCAAATTCATGTGCAAATTTGGTATCTGGATTCACATCTCAGATACTGTTGTGAACACTGATTTGTGAATCCTGCTGACAGTTAATTTGGTAGGAGTTTAGAATTTACTTATGACAAATGGCAGGATTTGATTGTGATATTTTAATAACACTCAATCATCAGTCAATTAACAAAGTGATTAGACAAAACTAATCAAAACAGCGACTTAGTTAAAGATTTGAATATGGCAATGTTCACTCTTTTACTACGTGGAAGAAATACACAAAGAAAAATTAAGTTACACTCAGGTTAGAATGACTCACAGAGAGATCATGGATGCAGGGGATAAGGAGGATCCTCCTGTTGAGCCTCGAGAGCCACGAGTTTCAGGATAGACCCCCTTGCTTTCTAAACTCCTTTTCAGAGAGGAGTCTAGGTGGGGCTAGGTCTAATCTTAGTCTCAGACTTGGTCAACAGTTTATGTCTAAGGATAACATATATATATTTCTATATCTAGCAGCAGTGTAAGACTCGTAATTAAATATGCATCACCTTGCTGGCCCTTGAATTGCTGTGGTTTTAATAACCAAGAAGAATAGTGAGTGGGAGAACTTTTATTCAGCTCAACGCCTTTTGGATGAAGCCCACTTCCATTGTGGTCAGTGCTCTAAGAGCTATCCGATCCTCCTGTCCTTCTGCACTTCACTGGGCATTTGCAGAGGCCACTTTTGGAGTCAGGGTTTATCGCTACACGAACATTGGATATGACCCCACAGAGCAGGTATTATGACCTGAAAATCACTTCAGGACCCTGGAACTTGCAGAGTAAGATGCCATTGTCAGGCTAGGGGAGCTGAACAGTGGTTTTCTTTTGCAACTGTAAGGACTATTTTAGGGCAGAATGAATTTCTGCTCTAGGGACTTGTTCAAAAACCACCCAAGCATCATTAAATAAAATATGTCATGAACATTAGATGCAGGGGTCACAACTTATGGCTCTGCTGCACTGCAGGAATCCACTTCTTACTGGGTTACAGAATCAAAGCTTCCATAAACTTTATCTGTTGCTGATCCTGTGAATCTTCCATTCCCTTCTGCATGAGGTCCAGCTGCAGTGGGGGAGGTAAAAAGCATTTTACAGTCCTGTAGCCCCCTGGTGATTCAAGACTTAGGATCTGTTGTGCGTCCCAGGTCTTCGACTTCCTGATCATTGGCTTAAGCCACAAAGTTACTGTGCAAAAGGAGGTTGCTGCTACCTTCCCCAGTGCTAGGTACTGATGTGCAGGAGAGGAATCATCATTCTGATGATTCAGGAGCCAACTGTGGCATGTTCCTCTTTGTAGGGCTTCCCACTAAGTAGTTCTGGCCCCTCAGCCTGTACACCGGAATGATGATTCACCAATGTTTCCTGTACAGACAAAAAAAGAGAGGTAGGCATCTCAATACTGTAAATCCATTTTACAGCTCTCTGTTTACATTGAATGTACAGCTATGAAATCATTGCAACCCTTTCCTTACTGTATGTTCAAACATCAAAGATCCTGCCTGTGTTTTAACAGCAGGCAATTTTCTCTTCATTGTTCTGAAGTAATCAGTTTATTACTCCCTTATCAGAATCTTCCTCAACCAGAAATACATTACCTGAATTTGCAGGAGATTAGGGTCATAAGTATATCATGACCTCAATAGTTCTAATTAAGACTCATGCTGAACTAGTCTGTTGTTCTGTTTCTGCTAGCCCGGGGGTTGCCTTTTATGTAAGAAAAGAAAATGAGGCTGAATGGTTTGCTAGAAAAGGAAGCCAATGAACGATCTCTACCTCTTCTCACTCCCTACATGCTCTCCCTGCTCTCGCTACAGAGCTGAAATTTCCATGAGAAGTAACCCTGCACATCATGTTCTGTATGTGAGGAATAAGTAGCACAATGACTTCATGCCTGGTTTGGCCCTTTTTAAGTCCTTCCAAGTTGCTGCCAGGATTCTGTATGCTTCAACCTTGCTTCTAATGGCTCATTCTTATATTACACAATGGATGTTTCACCATGGTGCTAGGTGGGTGGACCCAGACTCCTCTGCAGACTTGCTCAACAGGTCAAAAGTTTTGTAGTTTCATTGCGTCCTTTCCAGTTTGTTGGTAGAGGAGCATATGGCCCTCCTTGTCGAAGGCTAATTTGTTTGTCTAGAAAATTAGATGTAAAATTATGAGAAACAGTTGGCTGGCTTTTCCTATTCTCTTTTTAAAAAATTTTCCAGCTCCTTGTTCACCATGTGCACGTACAATGCAAACTTTTGAGATGAGTACTTTTGCATCTGCTTTAGCCTTGTAGTGTACTTCTAACCTGTTCTTCTGCTGCATTCAGTGGTACATAGGATGTTGATGTCCATTTTCAAGTTTATTTTATTCACTGCAGATTCATGGCACATTCATGATGCTGTTGCAGCATCTAAAGACACTCTTTTTTTTCCCTTCTACTTGCAGCAGAGGCTGTGATATAGGAACGTAAGACTAACACACTGTATCTAAACAGTCATTCCATCTTGCCCAATAGTCTGTCTCTGCCAATATTTAGACCGGATGCTTAAAGCCAGGGAGGAGTAACCATGGAAAAGTATGCAGTAAATAATTAAATCCTTAACTGATATATTTAGCTGTTGTCTGGACCAGACCCTTCCTGAGTTGGAGGTTACATCTAAGCTGCTGTAGATAAAGTGTACTTAATGGCTCTAGCCTTTGGAGATTCAACTAATCCCTTTCTAAAACCACTTCATTTTTGGCTTCATAATGTCTGATAGTAAAGCATTTACCAATTTGTTTATAAATCAAAACAAAACAAAGCAAAAAAAAAAAAAAAGCCCATTTTCCTGGAGTAATTTTGTGCCAGTGGCAAGGTAAGTTACTCCTTTGTTCTTGTTTGAAGAGAACTGATAAACCATCATTCCTTATTCACCACCTCCTGTTTGAGACGCTACAAACCTCTGTCAAATCATCTCGGTCGTTTCTTTTTCTGGGCTGAAGAATTCCTCAGTAATTAGCCTCTCTTCCTAGAGATCCCATATTTCTGATAGCACTTCTGTACCTAATCTGTTCCTACAGAATATTCTACAGTATTCCTTCAGAGATGAGATGACAAGAACTCAATATGGCATTCAAGAAACATGTTATTTAGCCAGCCTATGATAACTGGACTCTCCTGTTGCTATTGTTATTTGTCTGCTCTCACAGGTTCTTTGATCTTGTTGTATGTATAGTTGGAACTATTTTTTTGTCACATGAATTTCTATGTATTTATTAAGACTGAATTGATTAATTGATTGAGAGCAGCCCTGCAGGGAAGGACTGGTGGATATTAGTGGATGAAAAATTAGGTGTGAGCCAGCAATGTGAGCTTGCAGCCCAGAAAGCCAATCACATCCTGGGCTGTGAAAAAGAAGCATGGCCAGCAGGTCGGGGGAGGTCATTCTCTCCCTCTACTCCGCTCCCATGAGTCCTCACCTGGAGTCCTGTGTCCAGCTCTGGGATTCCCAGTACAAGAAAGACATGGACCTATTGCAGTGGGTCCAGAGAAAGGCCATGAAAGTGATTGGAGGGCTGGGACATCTATCCTGTGAAGAAAGGCTGAGAGAGTTGGGGTTGTTCAGCCTGGAGAAGAGAAGGCTCTGGGGAGACCTGATTGCGGCCTTTCAATACATAAAGGGGATTTACAAGACAGATAGAGAAAGACTTTTTGCCAGTGTCTGTAGTAATAGGACAAGGGGCAGTGGTTTTAACCTGAAAAAGGGTAGACTGAGATTGGACACAAGGAATAAATTTTTTACAATGAGGGTGGTGAGACACGGGAACTGGTTGCCCAGAGAAGTTGTGGATGACCCATCACTGGAAGTGTTCAAAGTCAGGTTGGAGAGGGCTTTGACAAAGCTGATCTAGTAACAGATGCCTCTGTCCATGGCAGAAGGGTTGGACCCTTCCAACCCAAACCATTCTATGATTCTCTGGTTCTATGATTCTAATTTCATACCCCATTTCTACCTAATAACTTAGCAATTTCTCCATCATTGTTAGATTAGAGTACCCTAGACAAAATTTTGTCTTTCTCAGTCACCCAGGTCTCTCAGATGAGAGATCTCTCATCACTCAGTCTTCCAGATAATTTATAATTATGTTGAAGATTATAAATTCCTGGGAGAGCTCACTTAAAGCTTTCCTCCAATATGAAAATTACCCATTAATTTCTCTCATTTGTTTTCTGTCTTTAACTGACTCTAACCTGCAGAAGAACCCTCCTTTTATCTTTTGGTTTCTTGGAACAGCATTTTTTAGGAACTTCATCAAGCTTTTTAGACATCTAGGTATAATACACTGGTTGGATAACCCTGTATCTGCTTGCTCCTGGAGTTCTTCCAAGAACTCTGCTAGTTTTATGAGGCATGAGTACTCTCTACAAAAGCTATGCAAACTCTTCCCCAGAACATTTCTCTCTCCTATTTCTGTTTTTCGTTATAGTTTGTATCCCCTACACTCTACAAAAGCTAGCCTGACTGGTCAGTAGTTCCCTGGATTCTTCTCTGAGTACTCCTCAAAACCTTGCATTTGATACTTCTTTTTCTCTGATACTGAGGTCTGTTAAAGCCTTTGATTATTTACTACAATTACTTGTTCGGCAATTGAATTTTTAAGTTCCTGTACAGATTTTATTACAAGAAAGCCATTGAGTAGAATGTAGGTTACGCAAGGCTTGTACAGAAAGTAATTACATTTTATTAAACTGAAAGGTTGAGTTGGAAAAAATCATTATAAGTTATCATTTTTCTCTATATGTCTTGCCTCATTTACTTTTTTTGAACATTAAGGGTACAATAACTCCACCTTTATAGCACAGGTAGACTTGCAAAAGGCCTATGTCGTGGTTTAACCCGGCTGGCAACTAAGCACCACGCAGCCGCTCGCTCACTCCCCGCCCTCCCTCTGTGGGATGGGGGAGAGAATAGGAGAAAAGAAAAAAAGTAAGACCTGTGGGTTGAGATAGAGACAGTTTAATAAGAGAGAAGAATAACAATAGTAGTAATAATAATAATAATAGTAAGAGAATATACAGAATATATATAAAACAAGTGATGCACAATGCAATTGCTCACCACCCGCTGACCGGTGCCCAGCCTGTGCTAGCTGTGCTGTACTCCCAGCTTGTTATGCACCTGGGCGAGCAGGAGAAGCTCAAAAAGTCCTTGAGTAGTCTGAGCACTACTTGGCAACAGCTGAAAACATCAGTGTGTTATCAACATTCTTCTGGTACTAAATCCAAAACACAGCACTATGCTAGCTACTGTGAAGAAAATTAACTCTATCCCAGCCGAAACCAGGACAGCCTACGTTCACTTTGAGTTTTTAAATGATTCTTTAAACAGCCCCTTTGGCAACTGCAAACATTTGATCCTTTTAACAGCTCCTTCTGCTTATTTTTGCCAATCTTGTTATTTTTATGTATGCCCTTAAAATATTATTGTAGTAAACTTGTGTCTTTTGTTGGTTTAGCTTCTACTAAGTCTTGTATTCAGGATAAATCAGTTTGCTTCTTTTCTTGTGAGTGCTTTCAGAAATAGCTACGAGAAGCAATTCTTTCCAGCAGCTAAAAGAGGAGAATCTGTGACTAGATCCACATTAACAAATAAAGTAGACCAAGGTCCATTTCTGGCTGTAAGAGCAATTGACATGGAGCAGTCAG